TCTCTCCCTCTCTCTCTCTCTCTCTCTCTCTCTCTCTCTCCCTCTCTCTCTCTCTCTCTCTCTCTCTCTCTCTCCCTCTCTCTCTCTCTCTCCCTCTCTCTCTCTCTCCCTCCCTCTCTCTCTCTCTCTCTCTCTCCCACTCTCTCCCTCTCTCTCTCTCTCTCTCTCTCTCTCTCTCTCCCTCTCTCTCTCTCCCTCTCTCTCTCTCTCTCTCTCTCTCTCTCTCTCTCTCCCCCTCTCTCCCCCTCTCTCTCTCTCTCTCTCTCTCTCTCCCTCTCTCTCCCTCTCTCTCTCCCTCTCTCTCTCCCTCTCTCTCTCCCTCTCTCTGCACCTCAGATAATTGCATGAGGTGGCACGGTCACATTTTTTACTTAGGTGGTGTTCGCATGGCCAGGCAGGTACTTGGTGGGAGGTTTTTGGGTAAACCTTTCTGCTGACCGACATTTTTGCCTTCACCTCAGCATTGTCCTTGCCATTGTTGTGCAGATCTGCTAATATGGGCACATTTGTGTGAGCATAAACAACATAAACACACACATTAGTGTGCCACTCTGCAGTACCTCTCAGCAGGTGGAAAAAATCTGATCCAATCAGCAGCACCCTCAACTCAGGAAGCATAAGGAATCCACCAAACATTTGACTGGTTTGGCAACAGAGCTGAGGAAGGCAAACAGTCTCTAAAGCAGCATTTCATGGGAAAGGACTTGGATTAAACAAGGACAACCGGTAAGCCGTTCACTGGACTCATTTGAAATGTAATATGACTTTGGTTTTGTATTTGATAAAACGAAATGCAGGATCCATTGAAGAAACAGTTTGCACTGCTATTTTTACAGTTTGACTCTTTTAAATGCATATTTAAGATGTTTAGTGTGAAAAAAAACTTGTTTCCTGAAGAAAAGAAAAATGTAATTCTAAAAATGTTTGGGTTTGTTTGATTCAACCAAATACAGAATTCAATAATTTAATACTTGATTTCATGGTTAAAATCGTGAAGGAAATGTTGTCCAAGGCTAGAAATGGAATTGAGACAAATTATTAACTTTGAGCCAAATGTTTAAAATGAATGTTAAAAAGTTTTGTATGTGTTTCGTAGGTTTTTCACCCATTCATTGATTCACACCCACTGGTGAAAATAAAAAAAAGGTTTGAGTGAAATCCTGAAGTCTACAAGTCCTCCTTTTCAAGTGTGGGAAGCCATGAAATTAAAGGACACTTGACAGCCGTTTTGATTTTTTTTTTGTTAGTAATTTTTTAACATCAATTTTCAGTTACAAGCACTGTTTATAGCAAAAGTTCATTGTGTTAGTTTTTTTAAAACAAATATACAAAGCACAAGTGGACTCAGGATGGCTTATTGGAGATGCATCACAGCAAAATCCTACTCAGCTTGCGGCGACTTTGTGGATCAAAGTCACATTTGTTTTGTTGCACATAATGCAACGTTCGCTCATGAAATCAGCTAAAGCAGAAGGTATAAATTGATATTCATTATTAGTTCTGTACCATTAAAGTTGCGTACAGGGGTTTGCCTCACATGCAAAAACAGAAAGTAGACAGACTTGTCCTCCTAGAGTCTTGGAAACTGTCTGGCTGACTCAGTAATGCAACACAAGGAAGTAATGGTTAGGGATGTGGATAAATTTTTAATCCAACATCAATATTAAACCTGACAGCAGATTCCAAAAGAACATTTCAAACCATACAAAATAACACCACCATCATGTGATTATCTGAAGTATGAGGGAAGTTATTGATGTTTGTTTAGGTGAAATCAGCTCATGTTTTCTTGCTGCAGTTCACAGCAGAACC